ACATATCCCTATCACTTTAACAACCCACAGGATAGCGAAACGATAGTGGTCCTCGTGCCTCAACTTATGTTTTATTCGGTCGCCACTCCCCAAACCGGCATACAGCGGAAACCAGAAAAACTTAGGGGGTCAGGATTTAGACGAAATTCCTATCCAACCCCTGCTCGACAATGACGGATTAGTACTGTGAGAGAAGAGCGCTCTCTCTTACGTCGTCACTGCGCCCTGTTTCTGCAAGACGATGCACTGGAACCCCCACTTTTTTTTTAATTATGCCTTTACGTGTTTACAACAATTTTAGCCTTTACGTGTTTACAGTTTACGCACTACATGGACAACACTAGTTCTTGCGGATTACGTAGTCTAATACTTACTTAGTGTATTAATTACGTAGTGTACTAAGAATATTAGCTTGTATTCGGAACCCTCAGGGCGTGAGTTTCACTCGCACGTAATTGGCCCATAATCCAGTATCAATAGTTAGTCTTCTAAAAACAGTAAACTGTAATGATGGCAGTTAGCTACACAGCTACAAAAATGGGCACTAATAATTGATTGTCCTTTTGCTAGTATCTTTCTGTGAGCTGCTAAAGCCAGTAGCGGATTAATTTGGCAGACACGTAAGTAATAAATTCTGAATGAAGATTTAGCGAAAGGTTGTCATATTAAATTTTCATTCGTGCAGATTAAATGAATACTCATTTCGTTATCTAAGCTTTTATTACATTAAATTGTATGAAAGACTAGAATTTCAAACTCTTTTCATAATTTAGAACGTGGTTTTCGCAGAGGTATTATCGTTCAACATTAAAGAAAAATAAGAGTAAGTTTGAAAAGTAGACAAAGTATGACAGAAAATTAAAATACACACAGACATAATGAAATATAGAAGTAAATGCAAATTATCTTATTAAATACAGACATTTTCCATATTAAAATAAAATATTATATGTAGTTTAAAAACTAAACACTCATAGCTTAGCATAGCATAGTGAGCCAAATTAACAATTAATTTTATCTTTATTCTCTTCATACAGGTTAGGATATTATAGCAAAGCTATAAATTTATTTTATTGTCATTGGTGCTCGATGCGTGTGTAAATTTTCTAGTTAATCTGACTTTTTTTTTATTATGATTGAAGTATTACTGGTGGCCTGGAGGCCTTTCCAGTTTCACCAGGACAGGTGTACGAGCAAGGCTCAGCCAGGAGAGATGGGATTTGCTAACAGCTGCCCGAGCGCCTCCGAAGAAGACCTAACAACTCAAGAGTAGCTGCTTCGCGAATGAATCTGACGTCTTGAAGTCAATGAAAATGACGTTCAACGATTCAGCTACATACTCGTATAATAACAAACGTCCATACATAAAAAGCTAATTAAAGCGTGCTTAAAACAGTCACCCATGTTGCGATCTGACATGGTTCTTCTTATGACCTTCGATATCACGAATTTGCAGAATCTCTATTCAAATATCATGAAAATAAAATCTTAAACGTTTTTCTATGTAAACTATTATTTATTCCTGATAATCTTTTCCCAATATGTTTACATATATATATTTATCGATTTGCTGAAATTTGTGACTACGGTACGTTCAGATACCAGATCAAATATATTTTTATAACTGTGACAAAATAGTTCGGAAAATATCTACAACAAAGCCAACAGAACCGAACTCATTATATTGATATTAAATTTAATTAAAACCTTCTCAAATATACTCTCAATTGGTTTCTTTTCTGTTTTTTTTTTCAATCACTTTTGTTTCAGTGGTTTCATAGAAAATAATCGAATCGACTAGAAGTCGTCGGATTCTTTTCTAAAATCTTTTCATCGTGTGAGCTGTTAACATCAGTTGCGTATGAAATTAGCCTGGAACTTTATCTAACTAACTCGCGAGCATCACGTTTATCATATCCTCGATCAATAGGACTACATAAATAGAATATTGTGCGCAAAGGAAATCGCGTTCCAACCTCTTTTTTAACTTAAAGCCCAATTTGATGAATTAGACTTGTTATATAATACAAAACACGTACCTACCGTAACGTAAAAAGGAATAGATAAACCATTTAAAAAAAATATTAGTTCAATCTCAGAACACACGAAATGTTTTCTTTTTTTAGTTGGCTTTGATCTTATCATTTCTCAATAAACATTTCTTTTTGATGCTTCAAATGTTTTTTTAACTGTCTAATACATACTTTGGAAAAAAAATATCTATATATTAATACGTGAAGCAAAAACTTTGTATCCCTTTTTACGAAAATTGCGCGGACGGAGGAGTATGAAATTTTCCACACTTATAGAGAGTATAGAGAAGAAGTGCACAATGCTAATATTTTTATAAAATAATGCATAAAAGATACATTAAATCAATAAAGAAAACATTACACACACTACATACCATGTATTTGACGCACACACGCATGCATAGGTACTATTAATTGTCAAACTTTTGTTCTTGTCGTCTGTTGTCAAATTGAGATTAAATATTGTTTGTCTTTGTTAATATTTTTTATAGTGTAGTCTTGGCGAAATTTGTGACTATAGAAGTATAAAATACAATCATAATAGTGTACAAACTTACAATTCCAATTAATTATAGTCGAATTTCAACTACTGCGGGACCTCTAGTTCTTGAAAATACAAGATGTCAACATTAATAAGAACGCTGTTTTTTTTTTTAAATATCATCAGATGATAAACATTTCGAATTTATAGTGATGCTCTCAAAATGAAAAGTCTGCTTTTAGATTTTATCTATAGGGCTTTTTATATGAAAACGTGCTAAATGGCGTAGAAGGGCTTCAGAAGAGGATTGAAAATCTCGATTCGAAGGCATTCGAATCCGACTAAAACCTCTTTCGAGGCATTTGTCCCAAAATATGTCAGACAATGAAATACTCAACAATACTTACCTTTCAGTGCAATTCGAGCTTTTTTTGTTGTTGCTTAGTTGGGTGGACGAGCTCACAACCCATCTGGTGTTAAGTGGTTACTGGAGCCCATAGACATCTACAATGTAAATGCGCCACCCACCTTGAGATATAAGTTCTAAGGTCTCAGTATAGTTACAACGGCTACCCCACCCTTCAAACCGAAACGCATTACTGCTTCACGGCAGAAATGGAGCTGACTTCAGTAAGGCTGTGCTTCAAAACTTTATAACCATATATAATGTATTATTTTATTCACATCAAAATAAAGTTTAGCTTAGTAAAACTATAGCACAATCTAAGTTGCTCTATAAAGAGAAACAACACTTAAAGCTATTGCTACACCAGTTTTTATGTTTTTTATATTTCAATATTCAAAAAGGTTTTAATATTTCTAATGTTCCTTCTTATGTTTCAATATTTAAATTATCATTTATGTCACCTTTTATAACACATTAACCTTTTTTAAGATTTATGTCATAAATCATACAGAGGTTACACATTTATTATATTTCTTATGTAAAACTGTATCGATTAATTTCTAATGAAATGTGTATGAAGATAATATTTTGTTGCTCTAGGTAGAGTAGATAGAGCTCACGGCCCACATGACGTGCACGCTCTAGGTAGTATGACAAGCTCACGGCGCTGTGGTGTAAATTTAGATTGTAGTCTCAAAAGTTGTGGTAGTCTCAAAAGTTTACTGTAGTTGTGTTATAGTTGTGTGTAGTCTCAAAAGTTTACTGGTGGTAGGACCTCTTGTGAATCCGCGCGGGTAGGTACCACCACCTCGCCCATTTCGCCGTGAAGCAGTAATGCGTTTCGGTTTGAAGGGTAGGGCAGCCGTTGTAACTATACTTGAGACCTTAGAACTTATATCTCAAGGTTGGTGGCGCATTTACGTTGTAGATGTCTATGGGCTCCAGTAACCACTTAACACCAGGTGGGCTGTGAGCTCGTCCACCCATCTAATCAATAAAAAAAAAAGTTGTGTTACATATTTACCCATTCAATTCATCAAACGTTCTACAACTAATAAATGACAAAACTTTCGCACGAGTACTCCCTTCACAATGTAGTCATATACAATTGATAAAAACAAAAGCTCCTATTATTTATTTATATAATATTAAAAAATGCAAAAATATTTTCAATGATGCTAATTTCACAGGTGGTAAGACCTCTTGTGAGTCCGCGCGGGTAGGTACCGCCGACTTTGCCAGCCGTGGACCTAAATAATGTACTGTTATCTCGACTATGCCGGTGTTCAAATATATATTTTTTTCTAAAGAAATATGTGTCTATAGACTCAACAGTTTGGTCTCATAGTCACAAACAAGTGGTAGGACCTTTTGTGAGTCTGCACGGGTAGGTACTACCACCCTGCCTATTTCTGCCGTGAAGCAGTAATGCGTTTCGGTTTTACTTGAGACCTTAGAACTTATATCTCAAGGTGGGTGGCGCATTTACGTTGTAGATGTCTATGGGCTCCAGTGACCACTTAGCATCAGATGGGCTGTGAGCTCGTCCACCCATCTAAGCAATAAAAAAAATGTTAATACATTTATATGACATTTTATTAAAACTAGCCGTCCCCGGTAATGGAAATTCGACTATAATTCGTAGAAATTAAATGTTTGTACACTGGTATGATTCTTCTATAATCACATATTTCGCCAAGACAGCACCATAGAAAAATATTAATAAAGACAAACAATATTTAATCTATTCTCAATTTGATCACAGACTTTAAACATTAATAAAAGTTTGACAATAAACAAATAGTATTCATGCGTGTGTGCGTTAAATACATGGTAGTGTGTGTAATGTTTTTTTTATTATTGATTTAATGAATTTTTTAAGCGTCATTTAAAAAAATATTAACTTTCTGCACTCCTTCTCTATATACTCTATAAGTGTGAGAAATGTCATACTTCTCCGTCCACGCAATTTTCGTAAAAAGGGATACAAAGTTTTTACTTCACGTATTAATATATAAGTATAAATTAGCGATTGTTTTCTTTTTATTTTGTTAGTAATTCACGAAATATCGTCTTTTAGACTACGGACAGGCTGGAGTGCTGCCAGAAGCGAGCCACCTCTGACGCCAAGCGAGAGGGAGGCTATAGCGGCTGTCGTCAAGAGAGCTGAGAAAGTAGATGAGGTTGAAGCGAAACGAATCGGACGTCTGGTTGCCCGACTAGAAGGTAATACTAGTAATTCTTTATAAAGAATAAGGTCTGGTTACATGGGACAACGACATTTTGAAACCTTTGCGAACCCTTGCGTTCAAATTTTTACTGGTGGTAGGACCTCTTGTGAGTCCGCAGCACCACCCCGCCTGTTTCTAGCCTGAAGCAGTAATGCGTTTCGGTTTGAAGGGCGGGGCAGCCGTTGTAACTATACAGAGATTTTAGAACTCATATCTGAAGGTGGGTGGCGCATTTACGTTGTAGATGTCCGCGTTACGTTACGTTGCAGATGTTGTAGAGGGCTCCGGTAACCACTTAACACCAGGTGGCCTGTGAGCACGTCCGCCTAAGTATGCAATAAAAAAAATAAAAAGTATATATTATTTAATTTGTATTAATACATCCCCAAGGTTACAATTATGTCTAAAAAGTACAATTACAGATTCTGTTCACTATGGGATACAAAAGATGGGCCAAAAGAGCACAAAATAGTAATTGTATTTATTTATTACTATTGTAGTTTCACAAAAACAATTCATATATAATATAGTTTTGTTTCGTTTTTTTTTTGTTTAACCACATTTCTCATCATTTATCTCTGTCAAACAAAACACGGTCTCACTTTAAATCCTTTTATATAAAATTAATATTTTTCCCATCTCGCGAACCATGTTACAGAAAATAAAGTGGATTTAATCAAGTAATGCTTACATACTGCCGTCTGCAATATCATTTTCAAGCATTACGTACTGCCTTCCGAGAAATCATCTTTCGCGTTTATTAAATTTGCCAAGAAAAGTGACGCGGCATGTGTTTACTTTATTGTTCTTAGATTGATCTTGATAATACGAATATCCTATTATATTATCACAAGATAATATTGTTGTAATGTTTTCTTCAACACCATTAGTCTCTAGATGAATTGTTCTAAATAATAATATTATTTCAAGAATGCACTCGTCAATTAATTTCATGATTCCTATGATGGGAGATTAATTTATCTTTGATGATGCTGCTGCATCAACGTCAGTCCTTGGCGTCATAGTAAGCATCATGCAGCTCGCTGTCAAGAATTGAGTGAATTTGGTGGGATCATTTGATTGGGCTGCGCCCTATTGTTCTTCGTTCATTGATACTCCTTGTAGCCATTAGTTGTTTGAGGTTATATCGGTCTTTTCGAACGATCTGACTAAAAAAGTTCCAGGATTTTATTTGATGAGAGAGCACTATATGTCTTTTTAAATGAAGCCTTAAAAAGGTTCGATCATCATCATCAGTCAACAGACATCCATTGCTTTGTTGTTTAGTCTTCGACGTTACTTTCCATTATTAAATAAGAATTAATTCACATATTTAAAGATACTATACAAACAAAACATTGCCGCTTAGGTTACCTTATGTGACCAAGGTATTAAGGGTAAACAATTTTTTTTGGTAGTAGTTAGGGCTCCACAGTGACAAACCTCTTCGCGATCCTTTCAAGAATGATTTCTTTTCGCACTAGGCCCTAATGCAGCAGACATCGACACAACTATTAGAACAATGAATTAACACGTCACAAGGCGGTACTTTCGTGTTCCAGATCTAAATCTTTTGTCTATATTATTAGTAAGCTAGGAAGTTTGGAACTTAAATGTAGTCGTCGAAATTTAGACCAATCTCTAACTCTGCGAGTCGACACAAATTGTCTTGTGCCATTGTGTCTTTACACATACATATATACGTATATGATATGGAGTACTTGAAAATGAATAAACAATAAAAGACTTAATTGTGTTTTCTGTGACATAATAAGAAAACAACATTTAAAGCCATTAATCTCTTTTAAAATTAATTTAAAAAATAAAACGGTAAGCAGTATTAATATACTATACAAAACTGAAGTCCCTTTTTACTCAATGATAGACTTCACTCCAGCACAGCGAAAAACACTGAAGAAAAATATTTTTTAAAAACTGAAGAGTTTTTTTTATTATTTGTAATAAAAGTTTTTTTTACATATATGAAATAGGTACACTTTTTAATGTGTGACATCACTAAAATGTATCTTGATAGACATTCGCTTTTAATACACTGGCGGACTTCTATAGCTGTATTGCTAGTAAGAAAGTATTTTCTGCAGGAAACATTTTATACTTGAAAAATAAAATATAAGTCTTCATTAAAATGAATAAGCAATTACATGCTATGAGCGAACTACACTAGAGAAAAGGTAGAGTAGGTACATACCTCTGAAAAGAAAGATTAATATTTATTGCAAGCAGGCCACCTTTTTAAGCTCTTTTAGATCTTAAAGGTACAGAATAAAATTGTGCGTCATGGAAAATGATAAACGGTAGCTATATGTGACGTGATAAATACATATGTATTTATATATCACGATTATTATACTTTTTTACTGGTGGTAGGACCTCTTGTGAGTCCGCGCGGGTAGGTACCACCACCCTGCCTATTTCTACCGTGAAGCAGTAATGCGTTTCGGTTTGAAGGGTGGGGCAGCCGACGTAACTATATTGAGACCTTAGAACTTATATCTCAAGGTGGGTGGCGCATTTACGTCGTAGATGTCTATGGGCTCCAGTAACCACTTAACACCAGATGGGCTGTGAGCTCGTCCATCCATCAAAGCAATAAAAAAAAAAAAATTGTAATAATGCAAGCGGATCTTTTTTGTTTTTATTGCTTAGTTGGTTAGACAAGCTCACAGCCCACCTGGTGCTAAGTGGTTACCGGAGCCCATAGACATCTACAACGTAAATGCCGCCACCCACCTTGAGATATGATCTCTAAAGTTTCAGTATAGTCACATATATAACTTCGTATACGGGACGACATTCTAATCATAGTATTAAAAAAAACTCATCACCATACAAATGGTGAGTATGAAAACAATGGTAGCTTCATTATTGCACAGTACAATCATCGTAAAACTGTAAAGCTTTTACTGAAGAACGTAATTCCTTATCGACACAGAACAAAAGTTTATTTTACTTTTACCACTTACTTTTATTGTGCCCGGCAATAGAAAAAGCATATTCCTTACTAACAAAAGCTACGTTATGTAGGCAAGCACTTAAGCAATCTAATAAAACTACTTAAGCAATGTTGCCATTGCGATTCGATTAATTAAATTTGAACCTAACCTATTTTGTTTACTAAAGCCAGTACGTAGAGTGAGTCCACACGGGTAGATTCCGACATCATGTCGATTTATGGATTCCGATTCGTAGGGCGGGACAGCCCCTAAGTATACAATACAATTGAAGCTTCAACCTTGTGTCTTCACCTTAAGGTCGGTGACGTCACTCACATTGTACTCGTCTGACGGCTCCGGTAAACAGTGAATACTTAGTGAGTTGTCCGTTTCAAAATAAATTATTCTAGAACTTTCTTACATATACGAGACAAATAGGACTGGCTCCCGAGTAACACTGATCTTTATTTTTACCTAAGCCTTGAGAGGCTATTTCAGCGTAACCTTAACTAGTAGATGAGCTCACGGGGCTCAAACCGGAATGATGCTAACACTGACCCTAGCATGAGCAGTGCTTCGCAGAATCTACCACCGGATCGGAAACTCGACCCACTGAGAAGATCCGGCGAGAAACTCAGTGGGCTACTGATCACTGGTTTGCGTTTTAACATGTAATGGACCAAGGTCATGGTGTTGAGCGATGCACCGGTGTTCGAATCCCAGGCGGGTACCAATGTTTCTAATGAAATACGTACTCAACAAATGTTCTCGATTGACTTCTACGGTAAAGGAATAACATCGTGTAATAAAAATCAAACCCGCAAATTTTAATATGCGTAATTACTGGTGGTAGGTCCTCTTGTGAGTCCGCGCGGGTAGGTACCACCGCCCTGCCTATTTTCTGCCGTGAAGCAGTGATGCGTTTCGGTTTGAAGGGTGGGGCAGCCGTTGTAACTATACTGAGATCTTAGAACTTATATCTCGAGATGGCGCATTTATGTTGTAGATGTCCGTGGGCTGCAGTAACCACTTAACACCAGGTGGGCTGTGAGCTCGTTCACCCATCTAAGCAATATAAAATATTTAAAAAAATAAAAAAAATTAACATGTAATGAACCAAGGTCATTGGCAGTTCCTCGTTGATAGTTTCCGAATAACAGGTATGCGCCGTTCAGCACGTGGCCCTGCGCCGAGGACTTGCCTGCTCTGCGGGGAGACGGCGAGACTCCTGTCTCCGTTGAGGACCTGTGCCGTCTGTCGGAATACCGCCTGCTCCAAATGCGTTATAGATACACCACCGCATAGGTTCGTAAGATAATAATATAAATTTATAAATTAAACGCAATTAAAAAGGGTATGTAACGCATACTTCTGTATTCAATTTTCATATAATTTATATGTTTATATATTAATAATAATATTTTATTATAAATTAACTGACACTTTTTTTTTAATCTCGCCACGTTAACTGGTCCCGTGTTAAGTTCGTAAAGCAGTTGTATTACAGGTACCAGATAACGGAAATAAATGTAAAATTTTTATTATACACATACATATATTTAATTCCATATTCCATTACTCTGTTATTCCATAACTCTGGAAAAGACATTTTATATTTATCATACAAATATCTTCCCTTGGCGGGATTCGAAACCGCGACCCCCTTGTGTAGTGACCATGTCACTTTACCACTACACCAGACAGCTGTTAAACTATAATAAGTTCTAATGTATCCAAAAATTTATATACCTACTTATATCGTTGTTGTCAAATCAATATTTAGTAAGTTTACTTTTTGAGCTTTCGACAATTTCAATGTATTGACCTGTAGATATATGCAGATATTGACTGTTTCGGGCTGGGTTCGAATGTTGGAACGAGACTGCCGTAAAATCATTTCGTGGCTTCGCCAGTCCTATATAACTACCATATCGCCTCGACGCGGGTATCTCCTAAGAAATATAGCCTCGGGCAAACAAAAAAATACCTTATGTTTTGACAACAACGATATCTAAAAGCTTTATTCTGTACGTTGCTAAGAGCATCATTCGAGAACGTCAGAATCTATTTGGCTGACTTTAATTTTCATAATACCTTGAGTAAGGTTTGAGGAAAAAAAATAAAAAATATATATAGGTACTGTAAAAATTTCCAGGAAATTCACAAAATGATCACAAATCTATTAAAAGTCTATCGTGTCAGCTAGTGATATAAATAAAAGACTATGTACTTTACTATGTCATATTTTTATTATTATAATGAACTTTCCTTGATAATTCACCAGATTTGAATATAAGAATGAGTATTGACTACTGGAATCGTGTATCGATTATTCAAACTCTGGTTTCTATAAGTGCCTGTAACTTAGTATTTAACCTACTGTGTCTTTCGCCGGATCTTCTCAGTGGGTCGCGATTCCGATCCGGTGGTAGATTTTGTGAAGCACTGCTCTTCCTAGGGCCAGTATTAACATATTTTCTCAGATTGAGTCCCATGGTTTAAACACCAGTCACAGCGTAGCTAGAATAGCCGCTTAAACTACCAGCGAATATCTAGGGGAAAAAAAACACGTGTGGCACTCAGGGACTGCCGCGGTAAAGCTATTGCATATAATTTTTTATTAACTTATGCAATTATAATTAGACAATAATAGTTTAATATTAAAATAAATTATAAAATAAGACCACGCCATATTTATAAACATTAACAAAAGCAAAAAATTAACGGTTCCCTTCACACTCATAAACTAGACCGCGCGAGAGAGAGATGGGCAGACCTTTCATGATGCGCTTGCAGTATGACTTCACGCCGCGCACTTATTCACAAACACTGCACAAGCGCAACGTGTGAATGTGTTGAACGCGAGCTACACGGTAGGCGGAGTGGGGTGGTGTTAGGTTTTATTTTCGTTACGAAGTTTCTTGATTCGGTCGCCGCGCCTAAAGCCCGCGATAAAAGCTATGCAATAGCTTAAAAGGTATTGGGTGGGATAATTTTATGTATCAGCATTAAGTGATCATGAAACAATAAAACATCGCAACTTGAACAGGTCGCCGCTGTATTCGAGGGAGCCATACATGTGTAATCTTTGCGCTGAAACGCGGGAAATGTGGAAGAAATCCGGGGCCTGGTTCTATAAATCTGTGCCGAAATATACCTTACCTGAAAGGAAGACGACAAGACGCTATGCTGAAACAGAATTATCAAGGACTTTACAGGTAAAATAAATAAAAGACGTGTAGCTATATTTCCTTCAACCAGAAAGGAAAAAGTTTTTATTTATTTTTTATTGCTTGGATGGGTGGGCGAGTGTTAACTGGTTACCTGAGCAAAAACGTAAAATAATACAACGTAAATGCCGACACCCATCCCCCTCCTTTTTATCATCGCACCTCCCGCCATCGGAGCAGAGTTCATCCATATTATCTGGAACCGCTGCGTTCATCGACTTGATCGACGTGACAAAGATTTTTTTGCCACGTACCGTCCGGCTTTGGAATGAACTCCCCTCCACGGTGTTTTCCGAGCGACATGTCCTTCTTCAAACGAGGCTTGCGGAGAGTACTCTATGGTAGGCAGCGGCTTGGCTCTGCCCCTGGTATTGCTGACGTTCATGAGCGACGGTGACCACTTACCATCAGGTGGGCGGTATGCTCATCTGCCTACAAGGCTTGGTTGAAACTTCATTTATGCGTATAGAATTATATCGGAAAAAAATATTTTTGCTCAAAATCTTTTGTTAAAAACCTCGACAACTAAAACGCCGCTAAAATACATATATGAATAAGATCATAAATACACTGAAAATAAAATAAGAATACACAGGGAAAAATATTGGGATGTAATTAATTAATAAATTATTTCGTATTGCTACGATTCACATAGCTATTTTTAGTTCGAGCAAAGAAACCTTTGTAAAGTAAGACGACTTTGTTTGACGAACCTATTTTCTTCAATGCCAATATTGTTTTGGACAATGACAATGCTTGAAACCAAATTTCATTTTCATTGCGTGCGTATGAAAGAATTTTAGACTGGAAACTGTTATTATACATATCAGTAAAATAAAGTTGTGAGTGATTGATATAATGTACAATTTAGGAACCAGAAGTACCGTAAAATTAAATAAAATTTCGCAACCTCAAAAAACCGTTCTGCTTACAGTAAACACAGTGGGTAGTCTGGCGCTCCGTTTACAACGGGATTTTTCAACGGAACTTGGGGCCAGATTCTACCGAATCTCTGGATACTACATATAACATAATTTGTATGTGGGAAGATCGGTATTTTTTTAATTAGGTTGACATTGGCACACTAGAATTATTTTAGAATAAGAAAATAACATGAATGCCAAGGCCAGTCATCGATTGACATGACGATGTTACGGGTGGTTTTTATTTGGAAAAAAAAAATTTTTGATGATAATCTTAAATATTAATCTATGTGTGTCAAAGATCCACTAGATTTCGGCCTACCATCCTACATTGGGATGGATGTAATGTGCTCTGCGTCAACCCTGTCCCGCCGTTTCAATAGCCCCGACTGGGCTCCGGCCCAGTCCGAGGTAGGGCGCCGGTTGTGAGCGGCATGAGTTTTTAGTGAGGTTCAACTCCCACATACCCCACCTGCCGCGCGGGTGGGGATCCGGCGATTTTCTACTGTGGAAAAAAAAAATACCATCCTACATACAATATATGTATGTTATATCGTCAAAATAATTTTTAGCATACATACACCGCGAATATTTTTTTCTGATAATATTTTGTTTCCTCAATAATTGAAAGGAGGAATATATTTTCAAAATATGCAATCTGATAAGCGACTAACAAAAATGATTGTATACGCCATGTATACCGAATGGTACGATATCATGGTAGGCAGCGGCTTGGCTCTGCCCCTGACATTGCTGAAGTCCATGGGCGACGGTAACCGCTCACCATCAGGTAGGCTATATGCTCGTCTGCCGAAAAGGGCAATAAAAAAAAAAGAAAGTATTATAACAAGATGGGATTATTTGAAAGAATTCCTTAGAGAACGGTCGAATACGAAATATAACGCTATGCGAATCATAATACTTCATAGCTTAACAAGTTTCCGTGTTCGCCCTTGTGTCCTATTATCTTCGAAAAGGTATTATTATCATGGTAAACGATATGATATCAGAAGACATCTTATACATAATTTTAAACTTATAAAACGCTATAGGAATCGGGCAACAGCAGTAACGAAGTGAAAACTGTAACAAACAACATCATAATGTGATGATGATATAACAAGATGATGGGATTATCTAAAATAATTCCTTAGAGAACGGTCGAATACGAAATATAACAATATTCGAATCATAATATTTCATAGACTTAACAAGTTTCCGTTTTCGCACTTGTGTCCTATTGTCTTTGGAAAGGAAACGGTTTTTTTTTTTTGGTGGACGATCAGGTATCAGAAGACATCTTATACATAATTTTAAACTTATATAACATTATAGGAGGCGGGCAACAGCAGTAACGAAGGGAAAACTGATTCGGAGCCAGGATCCCCGTTAAGCATACACGCGCCATCTTTCTCGAGGCAACCTAGCAACACGGAGAGCAGGAAATCTGTGCCTTCGCCACATGTAAGTTAATTTCGATGCTAATTTATGTGTTAACCTTCCGCTAATATAAAATTTTTTTTCGCGAAGACAGACTTAAAATAATATATTAAAGATCCAATTAACCTAATTATCTTGGCGTCGTCAACACCTAAGTTTTGAATTGCTTTAGAATGAGCTCACGGCCCATATGGGATTGAGTGGTTTCGGAACGCACCACAGACATCACTGCGTGGATACCGCTACTTACCTTGAGATATGAGATCTAAGTACCAGTATAAGATAATTAATATCCCATCGATATTTGTTCGAGATGATACCGTCATCTCGTTTTTACCATCGTACCGCCCGCCACCGGAGTAGAGTTCATCCATATTACCTGGAGCCACTGCGGTCATCCACAGTGCGTTTCCAGAGGTCTTTTTTGCCATGTACCATCCGGCTATGGAATGAGCTCCCCTCTACGGTGTTTCCCGAGCGCTATGACATGTCCTTATTCAAACGAGGCTTGTGGACAGTATTAAGCGGTAGGAAGCGGCTTAGCTCTGCCCCTGGCATTGCTGAAGTCCATGGGCGACGGTAACCACTCACCATCAGGTGAGCCGTGTGCTCGTCTGCCTACAAGGGCAATAAAAAAAATCCTTCAAACCGCAACGCATTGCTGCTTCACTGCAGAAATGAAGTAGTAAGGTGGTACTTACCTAATCGGGCAGACAAGACGCCCTACCACCAGCATACGAATCGATTCTCTTGCTCTTGTATTTGTTATACAAAGCTTCAAACTTATTATTATTATAATATTATAGCATCAATCATAAATAATTTAAAATAATCAAAATGTATCTTAAGAAAACAACTTGTAAATAGCCTTCAAGCGACTGGCTAATTCTTGTCCTGAAAATTTGGGAAAACCATTTTAGATTTTGTGGAAACATTTAAAAAAAATTAAAATGCCGTAATGCACGGTGTAAAAGAGTGGATACTTCAAACAAAAGTAATTTATCATCTATATATTAATACGTGAAGCAAAAACTTTGTATCCCTTTTTACGAAAATTGCGCGGACGGAAGAGTATGAAATTTTCTACACTTATAGAGAATATAGAGAAGAAGTGCACAATTCTAATATTTTTTTAAAATAATGCATAACAGATACATTACATTAATAAAGAAAACATTACACACACTACATACCATGTATTTGACGCACACACGCATGCATACTATTTATTGTCAAACTTTTGTTCTTGACGTCTGTTGTCAAATTGAGATTAAATATTGTTTGTCTTTGTTAATATTTATAAAGTGTAGTCTTGGCGAAATTTGTGATTATAGAAGTTTAAAATACAGTCATAATAGTGTACAAACTTACAATTCCAATTAATTATAGTCGAATTTCGACTACTGCGGGACCTCTAGTATATACAAATCGTGAAAACCTACTAAACATACATACATATATCCCCTAGAATAGCGACTTCGAAGTAATGATGGCTTTTAAATCTCTGAGTGCCGACTGCTCAAAAATGTATGCGGAACAGACAAATACACTCAATTTACTTTCATAATTTCCTACGACACTCAACGCCAGCGGGAAATCGTATAGCGTTAGATGTGTCGTACAGTTACATGAAAAAGCTATCAAAGCGCTTTTATTTATTTTATTTATCAAATCAAATCAAATCAAAAAATTTTTTTTTTTTTTTTATTCAACATAAATGAAAGTACATACTTGTTGAACGTCAAAAGAACTACCGCCAATTCACAAGAACTAGCCTCCGTCCTGAGAAGAATTGGCAAGAAACTCAGCGGGCATGTTTTTTTTTTAATAAATTATTATTTATTAATTTTTTAATATTACATTATTTTTTTAAATATGAGTTTTTTACAATGAGTATTATAACGTAACAATTACTACAATATTGAAATGCCCGGAGCGAGCAACTCATTACCACTTTGTGCAATCTTCTAGATAATCATTGACTTTATAGTAAGCTTTATTGCACAGATGTTCTTTAACAGTTTTCTTAAACCTATGTATATGTAGGTTCTGAACATCTTGTGGGATTTTGTTGTACAGGCGCACAGACAAACACCCGAATGAATTTCGTATCTTATGTAACCTACTCATCGGCACAACAAGTAACAGTACCACATCAAAATTACCCATCAACTTTTCATTGACTTCGAAGGCTTACTAGTGAGGACCTCTTGTGAGTCCGAACGGGTAGGTACCACCGCCCTGCCTATTTCTGCCGTGAAGCAGTAAAGCGTTTCGGTTTGAAGGGTGGGGCAGCCGTTGTAACTATACTGAGACCTTAGAACTTATATCTCAAGGTGGGTGGCGCATTTACGTTGTCTATGGGCTCCAGTAACTTAACACCAGGTGGGCTATGAGCTCGTCCACCCATCTAAGCAATAAAAAAAGGCAACCCAATGGCGTTGCCCTGACCGTGAACTATTTGTTTTCATTAACCTTGGACGTTATTTTTTAATTGTCTAAATATTAACCACGTTTCTAACACTTTACTACTTTCGTAATCTCCAACGACTAAGCTATCGCAGCAATTTTATGATTATTATAATAAATGAATTATGGTTGAGTACGGTTCATTAAATTAACAAAACATATTTCAGTAATGTTTGCGTTTCTCTGCACATATAACTATAACTAGATTATATATTCAGTTTATGTAACAAAAATGATATCTTAAGTGGATATTACAATTTAACCCGGAGCTATAACGTGATATAATGCTTTCAAAGTAACAACTCTACAGAGATAACAGTATTTAGGATACGTCATCAAAAGGTACTACTCACTTAGGATTAAATTATAATACTAAGTTTTATTTAATTATTTCGAGAGGCAGACAAATTGACGAAATTTACCGATGCCTATACCGCTGCATACAACTCAATAATGTCGCTACTCATCTTCAGAGTTAAATGCCGAATTGTCTTCATGCCGCAATGTATACTATCTATCTATATCTATACATATGTATATAATATAAGAGCGGCCTGACCGATTTGGCTAATTTTGGTCTTGAATTATTTGTGGAAGTCCAGAGAAGGTTTAAAAGGTAGATAAATATGAAAATGCTCCGAATTAAATAAAAATAACAATTTTGTTTTTCCTTTGATGGGTCCCCCGTCGCGTCGGGCGGTTTCCTTTTGTTTGTTTTAAGTTTATTTTATACAAAAGTTTAGGTCTTTTATTTATTGATTAAGGTACTGCGAAGTCTGCCGGATCAGCTTGTCTTCTATCTATATATATATAAATGAATTGCTGTTCGTTAGTCTCGCTAAAACTCAAGAACGGCTGGACCGATTTGGCTAATTTTGGTCTTGAATTATTTGTGGAAGTCTAGAGAAGGTTTAAAAGGTAGATAAATATGAAAATTCTCGGAATTGAATAAAAATAACAATTTTGTTTTTCCTTTGATGCGTCCCCCGTCGGACGGATTCCTTTTGTACCTACCCTTATGGACTTATAACACAAGCTGCTCTCTAAGAAGTGATAGGTAAGAAATAAAAGAGGTTATTGCTGCCAAAGGATGAAGCGAAAGTAATGAAAGTGGAAGGCCAGAGTCGTATACCCGTTTGATTAATGTTGTGCGGCTTATTATCATGTCAGAACAACTTGACATGAAATAATTAAGGACAATATACTCATATATCGAGGTCCGACACAAAATTTCGAATCGATCGTTCAAGCCAATTTCCTAAATAGAATTAATTATACCGAGAGTTTGACTTCCCGTGTTTAAACTTTCGGTATTGTTTCATTGTTTCCTTCAAATTTGAAAAGCTTAATGATTATATTAATTATACATCTATATATATATTAAAAAAAAACAAATATCTCTTAATGTTTTTTTGGAAATTTATCATTATAAAATATTATTTTATTTAAATGATTAATGGATAATAGTTAATTTAAAAAAAAAAACTGTAACATAAACGTTTAAGATATTCCCAAAAAGGTCTGTAAAATGGATGGATGGACACCATAAGTTTGCCCGTTTAGATATACTAGAGGTCCCGCAGTAGTCGAAATTCGACTATAATAAATTGGAATTGTAAATTTGTACACTATTATGATTGTATTTTATACTTCTATAATCACAAATTTCGCCTAGACTACACTATAAAAAATATTAACAAAGACAATCAATATTTAATGTATTCTCAATTTGACAACAGACGTCAAGAACAAAAGTTTGACAATAAATACCTAGTATGCATGTGACGGCGTTAACGATATTTATGTTATATAGCACGTGCAATAGGAGTGACTCACACAAGCCAGGCGCGCCGGCCGTGTCGTTCCACTTGTAAACAACAGCTGCAACAGAAGTGACTCATAAGCCAGCTGCGCCGGCTAGTATAAAAAGGCGGAACGTGCCTTGAAATGAACATTCGTTGGACTGCGCTTGCCTGGTGCACTTACTATATCCTTGTTACGTTGTGTGATTCAGTGACTGTTGTACGTACTGGTTAAAGTTGGACAAGTGTTAAAGTGAATTGTTAATATAACATATTGTTGATTAAATCAAGAATCAAAAAGTGACATCGTTTTACTTGGTGTTCAACAAGACAATATCTACCCTCAAGCCTACATCAGAAGTGAGATCAGGACTCTACTCTCACTGGCGTGACGTGTTTGAACATGTTCGAAGTACAGCAAAAAAAACATGATGCAGATCAGAATACTAGTAGTGGTACGCCACAAGAGCGTGAATGCAGCATACGTAAGTCGTGTAATAACGTCTCTGTTACCTCGATGGAAGATCTGAGCCACGAAGAAATCGTCACATCTTACGTTCTGGCTCATGTTGCCCAGTTTGACTGTCGACTTCATCACATGGCATTTACTAACGGAAATACTACACGTAACAAGCTATTGCAAGAAATTAAGGCAAGTGCAAATCTCAAGTGAAACTTCGATCGCAATAATGGATCTGTCATGACGAGTGGGTAGTTCCGACACGAATCGTTTTTAAGCCAATGACTACTGCT